TGGTAAACAGCTATAAACACATAGCAGAGTGAAAAATATTATACCAGGAGTATAATGGACATGAAATAACCATGGATAGTTAGTTAGGCCAAAACATTTAAGATAACTTAGTCGGAGAAAATAATCCTTTAAGTAGCAAAACTGAGATTATGTAAATAAATAATCATAACTACGGTAATTTGGTAAACAACTCATTTAAGTGGCAGACACTGAAATATAGAAATTATAAGTAAATGACCATAACCACGGTACAGAACAGAACAAAATAGAACAGAGGTCACAGATGTGACAGTCAGAACAGAGGTACAGACTCAGGAGGAGGCTCGTACGGATTCGAGAGATGGCTCCCACAATAGTGTAGCACTTAGCTCCGTACAAAACAGATGTACAGATTCAAGAGGTGGCTCGTACGGATTCTAAAGGTAGCTCCCACAATAGTGTAACACTTAGCTCCGCACAGAACAGAGGTCAATGTATACATGACAAACAGAGGGTTACAAAGTAACCAAACATAAGCCAATGGTTATTTAAGTCCCCCAAGGCGTGGGACTCTCGTGGTGGTACTTACAAAACATAATTGTTTATAAGGTCATAGTCAAATATTCTTAAAATATAAAACAAACATATCTATGTGTTTCCTTTTAACAAATAGGGTTTAAAAAATAATCCACGTAACTAAAACCTTTATAAAACATAACTTTTATTAATATACTAATAAAACATAACTTATATAAAATAAATATGGTAAGTCAAAACATACATAAAATATATTTTGGTGATTCAAGGTATAATACAACTCACCTTAACTTTAATATCTCACTCTTTCTTTCTACTATCAAAGACTCTCTCAGCTTTCACTATTCTTTCCTTCCTTCTCTCTTTTCTTTCTCTCTTTCATTCTTTCCTTTTTTTTCTTTTCTTTTCTTTTCTTTTTCCTAACCTGAGAGCATCTCCAACTCTGAACCAAAATTTTCATCAAATCTGAGTAAAAAAATGACTTTTTCCTTAATCTGATACTAAGTGCTCCAACGGTTGATTTTCATCAAATCTGTGTCGGGAGAACCGGTTGGTCGACCGGTTAAACCAAAATTTTTATTTTTATTTTTTGATTTTTTGTTGTTGAACTGTTTGAACCTTTTAGTAGTCGACCGGCCGGTCAACCGGCTGGTCGACCGGTAAGGCAAATTTTTTTTTTTTTTTTCTAACTGTTTGAACTTTTTTTGGAACTGTTTGAACCTTTTGGTGGTCGATCGGTTGGTCAACCGGCCGGTCAACCGGTTGGTCTCCCCCAACGGTCATGCACAGTGTTTTGGTGAAATACGGAGCCTGTCCTCTTTTTGGTGAAACGTTTGGTGAATTCTCGATTTGATATCAATTTGATAAAATCGTTAGAGCTCCAAACAATACTTTTTTCACTAAATTTTAAATTTGATGCTAGGTTTGGTGAAGGGTTGGAGATGGTGTGAAGCATATCCTCCCTATTTATAGGAGAAAAACTGTGACTGGCAACCCACGTAGAGTCCTCCAGGCGTGCCACGTGTTCATAGGCTAATCTTGCTTAGCTAGGCCAAATCTTTGCTTAGATACACACTTATCTTAACAGATGTCAATTTTGGTTAATTTTTTTATTAAATTTTACTTTGGCCCCAAGTGTTAATAATTATATTATTTTATAAAATTATACATAATAATACAAAATAAATCATATATTTTTTAACTGGGATTAAATAATATTAGTATAAATTCTACAGAATAATAAAAATCTGAGTTGTTACAATACGTATGAAAAATATTATGCTTGATAATTTATTAGAATATTTTTTAATCAGTCAATCCGTTCAAAACCGCTCAAACCACAATTTATTAATTCGTTAATCATCTATTCAATTTATAATTTTACTCTCAAACTATTCAAATGGCACAGCGCACACCCCTAACGAAGACCACTAAATAACTTCTTATTATATTTTATTGCATTAAATTTTTCATTGTTAAACAGAGGTCCAAATCTCAAAGGGTCAATTAGTCCAATTTTATTAAAATATTTTTCAATCCATCAATTTATTTAAAATCGTTCAAATCACAATTTATTAATTCATAAATTAACTATTTAATTTATAATTTTATCCTCAAATTATTCGAATCGCAATCCATACACCCTTCACCAAGACCACTAAATAACTTATTATATTGTATTGCATTGAATTTTTCATTGTTAAGCAGAGATCCGAATCTCAAAGGGTCAGTTAGTCCAGTCTACACTATGACGTCACACAAGACAACGTTTAATCATGACATTCCGACGCGACTAAATCGCACGACGCGAAATTGTTGACCATGAGCAAGTCCACTCTGTGCCCTGTGGTACACGATCCTCTGTGTCGCAATTTTTATTTTTATTTTATTGTTTTTGCTACTTATTCTCTATTTCAAGACTGTTCGAATTTTGAATTTGTATAAAAATTTATAGAGAAAAAGTAATAAAATTTTAATTTCTATTTTATTCACTTTTTTCTTCTATATTTTTCTTTCTCACAATAAATTTTTCTTTAAATTTAAAATTCGAACACAATTTAAATATTGTTGAGATTCAACGGTGATTAATGATGATGAATGATTAATAAGATGACTAGGTGAATTATAACGGGGACAAGTTGTAAATTAGTGAAATAATGAGAAAGTAATTGCAAATTCATAATAAGCTTTTTTTGGCCTATTTTAGTTTTTTTAATTTTTTTGAATCATATTATCTCTTTATTTTTTTATAATCTTTTTATTAAAAAATCAGAAAAAATAAAAAAATAGACATATAACCTGGTTTTCAAAATAGTCATTTCCATCCAAATTCATAATAAGCCTTTTTTTTTGGGTCCATATTTTTCATGTGTCTGTTAATTGTTATTTGCGAATTTACACAAGTAAGGCTTACACGTTATGACAAACTTGCACTAAAAAATTCTATTAATAATGTAATTATTTTGCCTCAATCTTATTTTCTTGCAATTGGCCCTTACAAAGTTACACCTACTCAAATTTTTATACTCTACAAAGGAAAATTATGACAAAATAGTGTTGAAGTTAGAAAAGTGGACACTCATTCAACATGACACTTTGCCATAAAAAGTTGGGAGGTTTTTTTTTGTTTTTTTAAATTATTTTACTCATAAAAAGATAAAATAAGGGGTTGGTTGGGATGTTCTAAATAAGTACATTTTTTTACTTTTTATAAAATATGGGTTGGGTTTAAAGTGATGTGATAGAGAGGTGATGTGACTTAAATAAGATGATGTGACTTAAATAGGATAGTGACTTTTTGACTTTTTTTTGAAGATATCAAACTTTAGCCTAAATTAAAAAATTAATAATATAAAAAATTATTTTAAAAAGTTGATAAAAACCAACTTTTTGATTTTTTAAATTTTTTTAAAAAACCGTATAAAAAAATAAAAATATAATTATTTTGAAAAGATAATTAAAAACTAACTTTTTTGTTTTTTTTTTATAAAAAAAAAACATATAAAAAATGTGAAAAATGATGTGATTCAAAATGAGTTAAAAGTTAAAAGATGACTTTTAGCCATCCTCCCAAATAGCTCAAAATAGATTAAAGGCTAAAAAGTGAATTTTAGCGAGCTTCTCAAAACTACCCAAAATATCACATTCAAATCATAATCATTTCATTTTTTATCTTACAAAAGTCAAAAATAAAAAAATCCATTCTAAATGAGACTTTTTAACTCCAGACTAAAATAATTAAAAAATCAAAAAGTCAACAAACATCCGAAACGAAGCCAGAAGTCCACTCATCTTTTCTACGTTGAGTCTGAATCCTCTCCAGCCAGTGCCTCCAGCCTTTCCTCTGGGTGATGGTCCAGATTGGATCACGTCACCCCACTCAAAATATACGACTCAGATCAGCTTTAAAAAAAAAAAAACCAGAGGCAAATCTTCTATGGATGGTCTGCTTTTGATCTTCTTCCTTTTTCCATCTCTTCCTTCTTAATTTTACATTTGATACATACATACATATAAACATATATACTACCTTCTTCCTTTTTCCAAACCCCTTCGGCGACTCTCACGCACCACCACGACCGCTAGCACCCACCGGCCGATCCAACACCACCCTCCCTCATTCTTCTTCCAGATTTGAAATTTTCGTATCTATCTTTTCAGAGCAAGACTCACTTACAAATCAATAACTCTCCAAAAACAATATAAAGAAGGAGATGAAAAAATCAAAGAAAAGAAAGAAATTGAAGCAACCAGAACTAAAGTGTTGAATTTGAATGATTTATGTGGCTTGAATTTTAGAGAGAGAATGTGGGTTTATTTCAAATTTGTGGCTTGAATTTTAATTTTTGTTTATTTTCCATGTTTTAGTCTAAATCATCAAATTTTAATGATTTAAATATTTGTGGCTTGATGATTTGTTGGATGTTCTTCCAAATCTCTGAAACTTTAGTGGTAAATTTGCAGATTCCATCAATGGTGGTGAGCTCCCAAAGGTGGAAAAAAAATTTGAGGCTATGGTGTTGACGCAGCTCACAAAATTTTGAGCATTGATTTGGCCTCTCTTTGGTGGAAGGGTTTTCGGTGGGTTGGGTGGAGTGATTGCCATTGATGGATTTGGAGATTTGCAAAGAAGGAAATTATACGAGTTTGGTTTTTTTGAAGAGTGTGAAGCAGAGAGAGAAGAAACTCAAACTCTGTTTATGAATTTTTTTTTTTAAGTTGACCTAAGCCGTATATCTTGAGTGGCGTGACATGGCCCAATATTGTCCGGAGGAAAGGCTGGAGACACTGGCTGGAGAGGATCCGAACTCTTCTAGGTTTACAGAACGTCATGCAGACGTCCACTGGTCATAGGTTTATGTTCCCCCCATTTGAAGTAATGTAAGAAAAAAAAAAATTAGTTAAATTTCAATTTTTTTTTCAAAGGTGAAAATTCATACTTTCAGACCAAAAATATTTGCAAGGGTTAATTACATACACATGTATTATACTAACTGGCACGCTGCCTTAAAATACTTTCAAGAAAAATAGAATGGACCCGTAGCAAATATCATCCAAATTGTTCTTAATCAGAATCTTTGAATACTCTTCAACCAATCACAAAACTAAAGGAACAACACAGAGAACAGTTTTTAGCAATATAAACTTCCAAATCTGAATTCCAATTAGGTAACTCATTTTGAATGTGAACCTGGATAGCCGCAATCAAAGAACTCTCTGAAGAGAATCAACAATAAAACCTACAAAACTTTAACACCTACGCATTTATTCAAGTTCAATTGATTCGGAGTGCTTAGTTCCCAATAATATACCAGCAAATGATATAATTAAACACCAGTGACGACTGTGTCTTCATATATCAAGAAGCAACCTCCGAGGATCCTCAACCACATCCTTGATGCGGCGGAGGAAAAACACTGCCTCCCTCCCATCAATCAACCGATGATCATATGTCAGCGCAATGTACATCATTGGCCTCGGAACTATGTTGCCTACAACAACCATCGGACGGCTCACTATTGAATGCATGCCAAGGATTGCAGACTGTCAAAACGTCCAATTGTGTTAGATGTTGATGATCCCCAAAGTTAATGCCATCAAATAAAAGGACAGAGAGTAACCAAACTACCCAATTTTCTGTCATGAAATGAAAGAAAAAGGGAAAGAAAAAAAAAAAATGCCGATTCATACGTCTGCAACTCAGTGCCGTGTGCTTCATATTCCCCCTTCCCACCCCCACCCCACCCCCCCCCACCCCCTTAGGTAAGATACATATAGCCGTTTCTTGATTTACTTTGACAAAAATTAAAAAAAAGAAAAAGAAAAAATCACCTTCTTATCTACTTGATGTCTGAATAAAGAATCATACCTGAGGGGGGTTAATGATAGGAGTGCTTATCAGGCTTCCATAAACACCACCATTAGATATTGTGAATGAACCTCCAGCCATTTCATCAATTGATATAGTTCCATCATTTGCCTTCTTAGCTAGAGTGTTGATCTCCTTCTCAATCTCAGCAAAATTCATCTTCTCAGCATTGCGAATAACTGGAACAACAAGGCCCTGCATAAAAGGAAGCAGACCGAAATAAATCAATACATCTTTTTTATCAATCTATTGTAAGTCATTAATATTACTCCCTCCGTCCCAATTTGTTTGTCCATTATAGAAAATCCAACTTATTAAGGAGACATGCAATCATTACATTTTAATTCTAATTTTGAAATATTTTTCCCACCATTGCCCTTTTACTTCAATTTTAAAATGCATTTATAATGATTCATAGGGGCAGTTTTGGAAACCTACCATAATTCCGTATCTCAAAATAGAAAGTGGACAAACATTTTGGGACAGATTAAAATGGAAAGGTGGACAAACAAAATGGGACGGAGACAGTAATCAGTAGAAGGAAAAAAGTATCTGGAAGAAAAAGAAGAAACCAGAGTTCTCTGTTGTATAAAGTAAGTCAATACAACTTCAACTCATCAAACTAACAGCAGAAGGTGAATTTCACAAACCCAGTATTCCTTTAAGATTAATTTTTCAAGAGATAGTTCTGCATGTTCAATATTGTGCAAGTTGAAACAGAAAGGTACGCTATTCTATTTTTTCAAGAGATAGTTCCGCAAAGAAAATTTCAGAAACCTTTGGAGTACCAACAGCTATACTGATATCTATATAGTCTCTATATATGATATCATCCCCATCAATTACAGCATTGATAATAGGTTGATTTTGGAGACCACTAACAGCAGCCTGAAATTTACAAAAGAATTCATAAATATCTTCAAATTGAACTATAAACACAGAAAAAACAATGAATGCTCATGCACATGTGCCAGATGCATGAGCATACATGTGAGAGCACATCTATGACCATGTTCGATAATAGCAATATTAAGCCATAGACTTATTACCTACCATCACAAATCCAGACATAAGTCCCAGCTTGACTCCATGCTTTTCAACAAAGGAATCCTTGTAGTCAGATCGGAGTTTCATCAAATTAGTCCTACAAGAAGCAGCAAATCAACAAGGGAAATAATAACAAAACTATGTTCACAAGAGTGTCATGTCAACCATGTTAAGATATGCAAAGCAATTTGGTTGAATACCATAAAGGTTATGTCTTTAAGACAACTTGGTAACTTAAATGCTGACCTCTTGATTGGTTTTGTTAGGTTCTTCATGCATCTCAATCTGGTCTTAGATTTGCGAAAGGAGCACTAAACAACTAACAAAGGATCTCTATTGATTCCCAGGTTGATAACTTGGGCAGAGCAGACCAAAGCGGCCAATGCTTTTGTGGCCTTAAATTTTTAACCAAATATGATTGATAATTTGCACCAATGAATCCAACCTAGAAGAAAACATGAGATGTTCTAATACTCTTTAAAGCGTATAGAATCACATGCATTCAATGGTCAACATCCTGTTTTAACTTACCCATGCAGGTCATTAAGGCAGAAAAATAAAGATATAATTGAAAATTTTAGAAATGTTAGCACTGGACTTCCCAAACCAAGAACCAACCTGAATTAGCTAGATTTAACCAGATTTATTAATTGCAGTGTGGTATTTTTTTTATTATAAACTGAACACTGAACTTGGTCAGTCAACTCTGTTTAAGCAACATCAAATGATAAACCTGAATTAAAAGGAGTCTCTAATCTAGTCCACAGATTTGACGAAGTCTGGCACAAGCCACCATCATAAACTAGCAAAAGTACTAGAAATATGGATTTACACTTACATATCAACTTCATTAAATGTTGTCAGCAATGCAAATGTGTTTTGAGAATCTTTTAAGCGGGTAGCAACTCGTTTTCTGAGCCTTGTCATAGGAACCTGTAATCATTATAAACTCAAATTTTATATTCAAGCAGGATGATGCATATTTTCTTTGAAACATTCACTAGAACATAAAATTAGATTAATGCATTTCTACTTTCTAGTAAAAAATATTTTGGTGTATGAGTATAGATATGGAACTATGCGACTTACTCGTCTTTCCCTTTCTTTAGGGGGAAGTTGGGGTTCTGTAGCAGAGCGTTTAGGAGGAGCAGTAGAAGTACTCTTAGGCTTCTCTATAACAGCAGTGCTTTCAACTTTAGGCTTTTGCTTATCCTCTTCACTTAGTTCAACAAGAGGTGGCTGAGAAGCAGCTTTGTCTGTTGTCTTCTCAGATGAAGCAACATGGGCAACACCTTCACCAGACTTTGAAATGACAGCAATCTTAGTACCTGGCTCCACAGTATCCCCTTCCTTGGCTACATACTATCAATAATTTACGTACAAACTCAGAATCAGAACCATTCCAAAGGAAAGATAGGGAGAAGTGTAGTGAACTTGTATAAAAATAATGATAGCAAATCCAAAATAATGATATTCTACCTTTTGGATTACACCTGCTTCAGGACTTGCAACATCAATTGTCACCTAGTGGAAGATAGACAATCCAAATATTGAAAGCATAAGTCATGTTAAGAACTTTAGAAGCTTAAATTACAACATTATCATGTTGTATTACAACAAGTACCTTATCTGTTTCAATTTGAGCAATTGGTTCATCAACTTCTACCCTGTCACCAGGATCTGCTCCCAAATATCAGATACAACACCATCAAGCACTTAAATTCATAGAGAATGGGCATTTAAATGGTAGAATTTGGGAAAGAAATATGAATCTTATTACTCTTCAGGAATTTTGCCAAAGTTCCATCACTTATAGATTCACCCATAAAAGGGACAACAGCTTCAACCAGATCACCTGCATTGCACATGTACACAAGAGGAATAAATTCAAAAGTATTAGAAATTACCAACTACAAGAGGAACACAGGGAAAGAATAAAAAAGTGTCATGTGCTAATAATTTAGATGCCATCTTGGCATCTTGTCTGTGTCAGGATAACAATCTGTTATTGAATAACATGATGTATCATCCTCAGCCAATGTTATATATTTGAAATCAATGAACTGTTAAGAGGTTTGTACAAATGAAAAATTAAATTTAACATGTTGGAGAAAGTAAAAAATAAGCTTATTTTTTCCAGGGAAAAAAGAAAAAAAAAAAGGGCCAAAAATGAGCCCCCGTCTCCCAACAATACCACTAGTTGACCAAAAAAAAAGTATACATATACAAATTACACATAGATGCATGCAAACACACACATCTCAACAACGAAAAAGTCACCATGAGAGGTATATGAATATCACACCATTGTAAGAAGAAAACAGCCTGCTTTGTATTTGCATGGTAACCTCTGGCTGAAGAAGACTGGCCAGAACTTCCCTGCACACGGGACATTTTTTAAAAACAGATGCAAAGAATCAAAAGACCAGAAAGAAAGACTGCTCCATACATAAAGAACTTCTTTTGTGTTTATCCTTGCAGTTTCCTATATCCTTTTAGCTTCCTATATTCTTTTTTAATATAATTAAGATGGATTAGCATCTTCATTGCACAAACAGAATTCAATATAACAGATAACTCATTAAGGATTGCAATAAGGTCGTCCGGCCCTGCTTTAGATGGGCTTGGGGTGGCTTTGATGATTCAAACCCTAACAAGATTTAAGAAACAGTTCAATCTGAAGAATTTCCATTAGTTTAATCCAACTTGAGTTGGGTTAGCTTTCTTCTATATGCATTTTATATTACATATACACACTTTCTAAACAATTTAGTAGGATCACTGAACACAAAAAAAGTTGGGTTCATGGCAAGTTAATGTAGCATTAATCTAGTCAAAGGCAAGTTCGAGCTAGGACCAACAATCCTGATTCCCAAGGCTCTTGTAACCATAGGTGGCAAGCACTTGGTGCTTTGCAAAGGTGGGGAGGCTAACTCACAATTAACAAATGACTCTCTTCGATCGGAAAAAAAAAAAAAGAAAAGGGAAAAAAGAAGGCTCCTGTAACCATTCCTAGTTGGGATTTCAAATACACTGTTAACCATTGAGTTCATTTAACTGAAAGTAAAATGATATAACATATCACTTACCTTGTTGGCCTTGAACTTCCTGAGCGACCTATTACAATAATTAAAAAAAATATATTTGGAGAAACTAATTAAAAGATAGAGCAGAAAATCAGATACATCAGCTTTTGCATGTAATTAAACAATAAAGGTGGTCAAAAGATTACCACGCAAAATGAGGTGACACAAGTTTCTAACAAGTCCAAATGCTCCTGGACGATGTAATATCTGTTCACATGCTTGAAAAGCAAAAATCTAAGAAACTTACATATAACCTTGGAAAGCAAATATTCTTCACAGCATTGTCTCATAGAAGAAATATCAAACACAAAGCAGAGTCAAAAACCAATCTTGCTCTCTGATAACAGTAATTAAACAACCAACCACCAGTTATCATCTTGTATGTCTTCTATTAGGACTTCACCTACTGAAACAAAATAGTAATATATATATATATATAATTGTAATATTTGTAAATTGTCAACACTGGTTTAGTTTAGGGTTTAGGTCAAAAAGCAACATTCTATCATAAATTTTTACTTTCTAGGACTTACAGAAATGACAAACTCTATTTGACATGAACTGATAACAACCACTTGGCTTGGTCCAAACAAGTTTTCTCTCAAATGTAAACCAACATAACACAAACCACACGAATAAAAATTTCCTATTTATTTCTTTTCCTCAGTTTTCTCAGCAACCGGACAAGAATTAAATAAAAAGATTGAAGAATTATATAAACTAATTGCCCATTCTAATCAATCTGTTTTATGCTAGTTATTAAATTTTAGCAATTAACATAACCATAAACCAACTCAAAACCTATAGAGATAAGAAATTCTATTTAATTATCACAAAACATGTGCATTCCATGGTACTACAATCTATCTCATTCAGGAGTTACATCACTAACAAATGCACTCAACAATTATCTGCTAAAATTACAAAATATAACAAATCAAAACAATGAGTACCTGGCCTCCTGTTCTCGGTGTAGATACTACAGGCCAAACCACACTGAATGATTGCCCTAATATCTGGTAGGAAAAGCACAAATAGCTACATTATGCTGAATTTTGGTCCATCGAACATCAATGATCAAATTTATGTGTACATTACACCATAACGTGTGTGTGTGTACGCGCATCTATATATAAGAAGACATTGAAAAAAGAGAAAATTAGGGTTTGCAGTCTGTACCGAAGAAGACGAGACTGCAGGAGAGACTCTCCGGCTCCGGCTTAAAATCCTCAACATCGTGATCAGCCTGATCTCTTCAACACTGTTTTGAGATCAAAAGTGCTCAAAAATCTCAATTAACATATAATAAACGAAAACGAAAATCAAAATCAAAATCATCAACCAAAAGAAACGAATCACAAACATGCATATTATAAGGAAGTGATTAACGCAAAGAAATCTCGACATTGGAACAAGTATTAAGAGTGAGAAAATTGAATTACCTGATCGAAGAATGCTACGATTCTTCTTCGAATACAATAGATCAAAAGGTGTAGAGAGAGAGAGAGAGAAGATGCTCAACCCCTTGTAATTCAGTTCAGACTTTTCCAGGAAGAGAGGTTTGAAAGTTCAATCGCGTCGCCGGTTGTGCATGTGAGTTTTTTGTTTTTTTAATTCATTGTTTGGGTCAGACAATGGAGCCAAAATTCACATGGACTCCATCATGGGACGGTACACTATGCTCTATTGGATCAAGATAGAGTTTAGCCTGCTCTAGCCCATCTATTTGATAGGCCCAAAATGTGTGCCAGCCCACACGCAAACTAAAATTCAAAACATAAAAAAGGCAAGGATGGGTAAAATTAACTTGCACATATTTTATTTTATATTTTATAAATATTAATATAATTAAAAAAAATTAATAATACATACTTGCAAGTCCATTACTAGAATTCATTAAAACATCCAACCCAAAATTTCAGTTAGGTGTTTTATATATACATATATATATAGCAGGAAGTTTGAATACATGATTTGTTACATATTCTGATATCATATTAAATTGTTAATCATTAATTTATGTAAAAAGTTAAGTTTTTAGAGAAGACAATTTTATTATTTATATATTATAAATATTTTAATGAAAGAATTTGTCATCCGCTATTATGGTGGAGAAAAATTATTAAGTAATACTCCATGTTAGATATCAATTGATATGTGGGCAAACTTCACTTTACCCCCTTATGTTTTGGGCTGGGTGCGGATTATCTCCTTAATATTTAGAAATCACCACATAACCTCCACGTGGTTTGTGAATCAAAACGCACGCTAACTTCTGTTAACAGTACATATAGATTGACTATTACACCATCATCTTCTTACTCTTCTCTCTTTGAATAAAACCTGCAAATATATATCAGCTATATATGTATATCTATATACGTTAATCATACCCTCATCTTCTTGTTGATTTAGAGCTTACATTCTCCCATGGCTGCCATTGCCAACTTTCAACCCATGATAGCTATATGTGTGTGTGTATATATTATTATTAAATTAAAGTTACTTTATAATAGTAGAGAGAGAAAGTATCAGTGTCGGAGATCAAGTACTGCAGAGAGAGAGAAAAAAAGAGTGGAAACATTGTTTGCAATGACTTTCTCCATTTCAACTCAAATACGAAGATGAGAAATATATATATACATATATATATATATATATGTATGTATGTATGAGAATTTGTGTATATGATTAAAGAAACAGAGAGAGAAGTGTTTTGTGAAATCTATGATTGTGTGTGTGCCAGTGTTGGTTAGGGTTGGTGAGGTCTTCTTCACTGGTTCTCTCTCTCTTTCTTTTTCTTTTTCTTCTTCTTCTTCTTCTACGATTTTTTGGTGATTAGGGATTCTCTTCAGATGCAGAGAGGGGACTGTGCTAAAATGCCCCAACATTAATCAGGAAAAATTGAGGGTTGGAGAAACAACCTTGTTTTAGTGAGAATTTAAAGATGTGTTTGTTCAGAGAATTTAAACAACCTTGGTTTTGGATAAACAACCTTTTTTCAGAGATGTGATTGTTCATTCTGTGAGAGAGGATGAGGAAGAAGAATGGCAAGCTTTTGTAAATTTAAAGATGTGTAATCGATATTTTGGTCATAAAATATAACTTACTCTCTTCATGGGCGTGTGAACCTCACTGCCTATTAATCTGGATGAAAAAGTGGACGGTGCATTTTAGTCCAGAAACTACGCAGGGGTTATATGGTGATTTCCAAATGTCAGGGGGATAATCCGCACTCGGCTCAAAACACAAGGGGTGTAAAGTGAAGTTTGCCCTTGATATTTTTTTTTTGTTGTTTTCAAAATATCATCTTATAAATTTGATAGCGTTGTCTAGATGAATAATTTTCAGACTAAACACCACATTGGTTTGGTAATAAATTATTTTAGTAATTTTTTTATTTTTTTGATTAAAATATGAGGTGAAAAAAATTAGTGTGTTTGGAATAATTTTTTAACTTTTTATGAAAAAAATGTGTAAAAAGTATAGAGAAAATAAAAGGAAAATTAATCTATAAATCCCATCTTAAGGAATGGTGATCTGTTTAATCCCAACGATTTTTTTATAGACCAATTAGTCTCGTTAATTATAAGAAGGTAGATTTAATATATTATTTAGAAATTGAATTTATTGTTGTACCTTTATCTTTATTATGTTTTCTTTTTCTTTTTTTCGTTTGTGCTAGAAAGGTAAGATACACAATCTATGAGAATTAAATTTAGAATCAATTTTTATATGAGAATCTTTTTTATATTGAAAACATTTCGAAAGAAATACAAAAAAGACTTAAAATATATGATTTTTCAAACATTTCAAAAAGAGTACAACAACTCTTCAGTAAGCTTTAGACAAATGTATAATTTCAACCTGTAACACTCCAATATTACATTTCAAAAAAAAACTCTTTAATGTACTTTTTCCAAACGTAACATTTCAATATAACGCACACAAAAAAAAAAAATTTCTTAGTGTAACACTGCAATGTAACACGCACACACACACAAAAATCTTAGTATACGTTTTTTTAAATGTAACACTCTAAAAAAATGATGTAGGATTTTTCAAACAATTCCAAAAGGAGTATAAAAATTTCTTAGTAAATTTTGGGCAAATGTATAATTTCAAATTATGAGTGTTACGTTTGAAAAAAGTACATTAGGGAGTTTTTTAGGTGCCGTTTGGTAACACTTACGTTTTCTGTTTTCTGTTTATATTTACAAAAATTTAAAAAACTCAAATAAAAACTTGTTTGGTAAAATTTTTGATTTATAAATCAGTGGTCTCAGTTTATAAATTTGGCAAAAAAATGAAAACACAAAAAATGTGTTTCCATTTTAAGTTTTCAGTTTTTTTTTTTTTACCACCCAACACTAGTCACCATCCGCCACAATTTTCCACCACCGCCTTCCGCCACCACCACCCACCACCCACCCTCCACTACCACCTGCCACCACCACTCACTAGGTAGCATGGTTTGTCCCATACCTTGAATGTGAAGGAATAGAAAACTCATGTATGGATAATATTCAACAATCACAGAAAGTCAAATATTTGAAAAGATAATGAAAATTATATATAAAGAATTTCTAAAACACCATACAATGGTTCAAACCTTTACATAATATAAAATCAAAAAAAGAAAAACCTATTACATAGCTAGGGTTTCTTCAAAACCCTAGAAAAGAAGACTAGCCACTCATGGAGAAGTGGAAGGAGGTAGAAGGAGAAGGAACCACCATGGGAGACATCTTGAAGCTTCTTGTTTCTTCCTCTTTTTCAAACCCTAGCCTCTCTCTTTAGGTCCAAACAATTTCAGAACCCTAATCTAGCCTTTTACTTGCCTTTTTATACTTCCAATCTCGTCCAAACAGGTTTAAAACGTCGGTTTGACTTTCCCAGAAAAAGTCAACCCACGTGCGGAAAAAGTCAACGCACGTGCGAAAAAGTCAACTCTACCCAAATTCTGTCTTTTTGCTCATTTTATGCTCCAGCGATGTACAACCTGATTGACACTCAACACACATAAAATATACAGTTTGACCAGCAAGTGAAGTTAAGAGATTCTAATTAACGGCCTCAACGACGTACATTTCGGCCTTAATCAGTAACACTGCAATGTAACACGCACGCGCGTGTGTGCGCGCACGCGCACACACACACACAAAAATCTTAGTATACTTTTTTTTTAAAATGTAACACTCTAAAAAAATGATGTAGGATTTTTCAAACAATTCCAAAAGGAGTATAAAAATTTCTTAGTAAATTTTAGGCAAATGTATAATTTCAAATTTTGAGTGTTACGTTTGAAAAAAGTACATTAGGGAGTTTTTTAATGTTTTTGTTGTTAGAAATGGTTTTGGAAAATATGATTTTTCCTCAACTTTTCTTTATTTTTTAGGTGGGACCTATACGCCAAAGTTGGCCGGTCAAAGTGGTAACGCGGTCTATGCCGCGTTGTGATTCACGTGGTATATTTCGTTGCTCAAAACCATTATCAGGTGAATGGGAATTTGAAGCCAAAGTGAGCTCCATGGAAATGGAGTTTTTGGTGGAAATTCTTAAGGTTTGAATAAAGGCTTGTCCCACATTGGTTTGGTGAGAAGAATTTTGTGGGTTTGTAAGGCATAGGTTTGTAACTTGGGAAGAGTTTGTAGAAGGGAAAGGTTATGGGCAAATTGGGCTAAACCATTGGGCCCAAAAATAAACACGACTGGGCTTGGGCGCAAGTTTTTGCACCTCTTCACAGTTTCTGTACAAACAAATTCGAAACTGTTCAAATACAGTTTTTTATCTGTTCAAATTCAAACCCAAAAACAGTTTAATATCTGTTTAAAATTCAAATCAAACAGGTAATATACCTGTTGAATTCAAATTGAAAAGTCACCATTACACCTATAAATAGACAAGTCCTTCATTTGGATTTTCACTCTAATTTTCGTCCAAAATTCTGCTTTTGCTTTCTGCATATTTTGTTACATTAATTTTCTGTGAGAAAGAGTATATTCACAAAGTGTGTTCATTGTGTGAATAGTGTGTAGTGTTGCTACTATTCATTGTTGATCATTTCATCTTGGAAGATAGACGTCCAATATCTGAAAGTACCGTAGAGAGGACGAATCTGTCTTAAGGACACAGTGTTAAACACTAGACTTGATCAGAAAATTTTGTTCAACAAATTAATTTGGTAAGTAATTAATTTACTTTTCTGTTTTATTATTTTTTCTGTTTCAGATTTTGATTTTGTTTTTGTAACAAAATAAAAATCTGTTTTATTTATTTTATTTTATTTTTTGGTTTGATTTTTGTAATCAAACAAACTCTCTAATTTCCTTTATTTCTTCTGTATTCCGTTTGTTGTTAAGTACACAAACATAATTTTTTTTTTAAATACAGTGAAAATTGTCCAACAATCTTAAGACAGAGCATTTTTTGGTGTCTTCATTGTATTTAATTTTCTGTGCTTTCACAAAGTGATATTCTGGTTGGAAAATACAAATAGTAGTAATATACTGTTTATTTTCTTTGACAACTAGTAGTAATATACTAGTGTCATTAACAATTGCAGAATATTAATTTGTGTTACAGAAAATTATTATGGTAT